GAGCAGAGTGTTGCTGTAATATGTTATGCTACACTACAGCTGTCACAGTACAACACAGTGGGTGTCAATCCTCGAGTCAGGCTAGTGTGGCGTTATCATAGTTCTCTCCCGCTGTAGCCCTTCTGGCCCTTTATCACAGTGATTACTTAACCATAGAGGCTCTTAAGTGCTGCTTATCAGAACTCCTCTGGAGAGCAATTACACCATCAGTGCTCTCTCTTTCACATTTAGCCTCATCTGAAGCTTCTGTTTTTATCCTCCTCCCTGCTCCTCTCATCCATCCACCTTCTCTCATCTCTAGCCTGTCTCTCAATGCCCCCTTTTCCTCTCATCCTCTCCTTTCTCCTCTGCTCCACTACTTTTTGCTCAGCTCACTTCTCTTTTTTACTGTCCTTAAAAAATGCAGTGTCTTGTCTTCTTGTCTTTCCAGCTGGTCTAATCTCATCTCCTGTCCTTGGATTTCTTTTCCCAATCCACTTTTTTTGTCTCTTATTGATCAATTAGATTTTTCACAGGATGGTGGCACAAGAAGAAAAGTAATGGGATCACTAAAGTCATTGAGATTCATCCTCTGAGCACCACAAATATCTGTTCTAAATGTACTGGAAGTCCATCCAATGGTTGTTGAGATATTTCAGTTTGAACCTAAGTTATGGACTGCCTGACACTGCCATCCCCAGAGCCAGCTGCTTCAAATAATAAAATAAAACTATTTCATAGATAAAATACAACGATGAGAGCAATGTTTCTCAAATCACTGGTTTGGTCCATACTAACATTTGTGTACTTTCGTTAATATTATCACATCCTGTGTCAACAGATAGTGTAGTGCTGTATGTTGTTCTGAGAGACTGATGGTACAATGCACTGTGTTGAAAAGTAAGCTGAAAATGTGTTTGTCTCCCAAACTCAAGGGTGAACGCATTTTTCTAAAGGACACACCACCGTCTGAGCGAGACGGTGAACCATGAGGGAGGAGAAAGATCTATCTGGGTTGGGAGTGAGAAGGAAATGGTGGTGTGTGTGTGTGTGTGTGTGTGTGTGTGTGTGTGTGTTATTGGTTGGGGAGTGGTAAAAGGAACCGGTAGGTAAGTAAAGCTGGGGCTCTTTTCTAACCACAGTCATCCTTTTCCCCCAAGGTCAGAGCAAAAAAAGCACAGATTATCTTGCCAAAGAAGTTAGAAAGAGTTCAGTACAAGGGATGGAGGGAGAGGGGGAGGTTGGGGTGAGGAAGAGGAGAGGATGGTTTACCTACATGTTTTTATAAATGATGCAATGAAATACAGAAATAAAACTGATAGAAAGTCAGTATTTCTGGTAAATTCTGCATATTTCATCATAAATTTAACTCATTATATACCATGCCATTTTAGATGTATTCTTTTTGCAGCCAACAAACCAAGTTCAAAGCTGACAATAGCTTCTCTGCATATGAAGTCACACATTGGTACGCTGTATAGATGGAGGGCAGGCAACTGGAGATGAGGACTACCAACACTGCACAAATGCCTGCAATTTGCGCTGTTTATGATTCAATTATTTCCATTGACCATGTTGGGGAAAAACAACAGCAACTTTTAAGTCCTGAAAATAGTAGGATATGCAGGGGAGAAGGCAAAAATAGTCACTAAGAAACAGTAGCAAATGTGGAGCAGTCTGGGGGAGCAGAGTCAGCTCATGTCAATGGTTAACATTAAAGACTTGTGTTGAATATGCCAAGAGTTGGATGGAATTACGATGTGCTGTGACAACTGCACCATGTTTTAAGCTACAACTGAGATTTTTAACGCCATTCCACCAGACCTCTGGGAACAGTTGACCTATTAAGTCGAAAATAGTAGCTGAAGGAGGCTAATGTTAGCTAGTAACATTAACCTGACAACACATTCACTCATTTGGCCAAAAACAAGACAGCAGTCGTTTCAGTCGTGGACCCAACTGCACTCAAATAGACTCATGTACACTTTCATCAGCTTCGTGTGTAACTAAGTAACGTTAGGAGGTCTGGAGGACGATCGTGTCTGCACCTGGTGAGCTGGTCAGGTTGTGGGAAAATCACTGTTCACTCAACCTTTTTATGTAGTCTCTTTCCTCAATTTCCAGCTCACGCTATGAATGGATGTACACTTCTTGCCCCAATCTGAATATTGAGCATCATAATAGTCACATAATTGCAAACAAGCTACTGTAATCACACAAGAGACATAATACAGAAGTAGGAGGGAGGAGGGGGTTTGACAGAAAAGAAAGGGAGTGATGAGATAAAAGAGGACAAACTGGAAGATCTTCACAGTAGAGAGAGAGTGAGGGGGGAGGAGAAAGGAAGGAATGAGAGGACAGAGAGCTGACATAGAGTAGAAGAGAATACGTTTTAATATTACAACTGTTGGAGTTGAAAGTTGGAATCCTGTAGGAGGAACAGAGGATTCATTGTGCTGACTGCTTACTAAAAAGACCATTAAGGTCTGTTGAAACATTTCCCTGCAGCTCAATGAAGCACAGATCACAGTCTCTTTGTCTCGCTCTCTGCTGGAGGTTGCTCATCTGCTCAACCACTTAACGGCAATATAACGTATGTACTCATTTGTGCAGTATATGCATCAAAACCCTGGAAATTGCCTAATCATAATAAAAACTGAATGCTGTTCCTAACCCTTCTTAACATTTCAAAGAGAGGCAAGTGGCTGCCATTCATGATTGTACTGCATGAAAATCCACTTCCATAGGTCGAGATAATCCATCCCTGTAAAAATGATTCGATTTGGTCAAACTCAATCTGTCTTTCTTAAAGCTGTGGGTAGCATATCCGTGCTGAATTTCCTTTCTCTCTGACATTAAAAAAGGGAAGACTCTTGCCAGGAAATAATCCTTCAAAGACATATAAACTTGACTTTCACATCCACATCTTTTAATGTAGAGTGTATGTAGCAGTCCAAAGAGTACTGAAGCTACAACACAAAACAATTCAAGATGAAACTACAGTACAAGGTGCTTGACTTAACAATCAACACTTGATGTACGTGCAAACATGCAGCCTCCTCGCTGTTGTGGTTTACGTTTGTTAATCATTTGTGACAGAAGAAGACATGAACACAACACTGTCTTCACCATTAAAGGTCCATTGTGTAGGATTTAGGGGGATGTATTGGCAGAAATTGAATATAATATAATGTTCTTTAGTGTATAATCATCTGAAAATAAGAATTGTTGTGTTTTTGTTACCTGAGAATGAGCCATTTATATCTACAAAGGGAGCAGGTCCTCTTACATAAAGTCCACCATGTTGTTTCTACAGTAGCCCAGAATTGACAAACCAAATACTGGATCTAGACAGCGCCAGACGCATTTTTGCGTTGGCTATTATGTTGTACACTCTGCTACCAGCCACTGTTTGTACTGGTTTAAATTACCAAGTCCGTTTCATTTGGAGAGGAAGAGACCCTTTGCAGATAATTCAGCTCCCACTAAAAACCTCCTGAACACTGAAGGTATTCTCACTGGGAGAAGTTTCAGCTGGTTGCAATCTGCAGTCCTCACCACTAGATGCCATTAAATCCCCCTAAATCTTACACACTCAACCTTTAACGCTTGGTCTACATGCAAACCTGCAGCCTGTCCACTGTTATGGTTTATGTTTGTTTACCCTTTGTGAAAAGACATGAACACAACACTGTCTCCAGAATCAAGAGGCGAACCTTAATCTGACTGCTCCATCTGCAAATGAATGCAGCACAACTGCTATGGTGAAAAAAGAATCTGGATCACCACCAAATTCTCATCAATCAATTTGTCAGCCAAACGCAATCTGTTCACTAACTTTTCTGATATGTCAAACTGACAGACAGAAAACTGAACCTGCCTCACTTCACTGGCAGAGTTCAAGATCTTAGATCTACAGACTACTTTTCAAAATGACAAAATTACAACTAGATAGAGGCAGTAAATGAGCTACCGTACAACTCTAATTGCCACAAATAATCTCCTTAAAAAGTTGACAAAGACTCAGTGTAGAGCCCTGCAGCTTGGTTTAACACATAATAAACAACATTTTAAAGGGTTCTCCATTGCACAAAAGCTGGTTCTGCTTCACATCTCATATAAAAGAACAATTATCTGCTCCCTGCGCAGTGTGGGATAAAGTCAGAGAGGTTCAGTGTCACAAGCGGCTGATTTAGTTGTTCAGTCTCATGATTTATTAATTCTGTCTGCAGTCAAAAACCCCTGGAGCTGTGGCAGAAACACAAGTGCCTGCTGTACTGTAACATCAGTGCTACCAGCTCATCCTTTATCCGTTTACAAATGCAATTTGACTTGCTTTTACAACAAGTTAATGGGGGCAAAAACCAGCCTGCTGTGTGAAGAGTGGAAGTTATGTCAGATGTAAAAAACAAGCTGAGTTCAAAGTCAGGGAAAAGAGCAGAGGAGACGTTCATGTACAGAAGCTTCTGAATTTTTTTTTTTTTTCTTTGATGGCTTAAGACTCCTCTGACAGTTTAGCATGTGCAGTAAGAGCAGCATGTTCACTTACTGTGGAGTGTTTCATCCAGATTATAAACACTGAAGCAATGTGTGACTGAATGTTATGGGATGTGAATACGCTGACATACTGACCTAGTGATCCAACGCCCAGGAATAATCCTTACAACTACAGAAAATGATAGATAGATAGATAGATAGATAGATAGATAGATAGATAGATAGATAGAGCCCATATTATATGTAGGCTATAATGTGCCATAATTACATTTTGTTAGTAAAACTATTTATTGTAATCCATATTACTCCTGTCTAGGTACACACAACCCACATAGCCCACATATACATGTTTACATATGTAGAGGTTAACACCAGACTTAATTCGTCCCCATAACATACAAAGCTGAATTATAGCTTCCTGTGGCAGGTGCGGGTTTCACTTCTCTCTCTCTGTACAAAGAAATGAGTATACTAGAGAGTAAAGACACAGCAGCTGAGTAATAAAGGCACAAGGCTGTACTCACATTCAGCTTCCAAAGTCTCCACTGTCACCTCCAAAAACAGTGTGTATCCATCCAGACAAACAAAGTAATTTTGTTTCATTCAGCCTCCACAAAAAAAGCTCAGTAACAGTAGTGATGGTCAGTTTAAACAGGATCCACAGCGCAGTACAGTGTGAACAGAGTGGCAGCAGCCGGCAGACTGATACACGCACACACATACACAGAGAGAGAGAGAGAGAGAGAGAGAGAGAGAGAGAGGGAGGGAGGGTGAGGGAGAGAGAGAGGCAGCATTCTGCATGACTTGGTAACAGTTCCGCCCTCTCTCTCTCTCTCTCTCTCTCTCTCTCTCTCTCTCTCTTCTCTTTCTCAATTGAATTCATTTTAATTCAACAGGCTTTATTGGCATGATATTTGACATGAGTTGCTAAAGCACAATTACATTATTTACAATTACATTAAAAGGACAATTATGAAATCAACAACTAATCACAAGAACAGCAGTATTAGTCAGTAAAAAGGTAATTAAATTAAATTAATAAACAAAAGAGAATTATATATATACAGTACATATATAGACATACATATGAACGTACATATCTCATAAATCTCATATATGTTCATACACGTTTTGTGTGTTTGTGTGTGGAAAAAAAACATGGAATAAAATAGTAAAGAGAAAGGCAGTCTGAGCTGTGAGAAGATGAACTACAGCTTTATGTGTTATTCTTGTTGTTGTTGTTGTTGTTGTTGTGTCTGTGTGTGTGTGTGTGTGTGTAATAAATCTGCTATAAAAGTAATTTAAGTTTGTTTAGGGTCAATAAAGAATCAATTAAAAACAGTATATTTATACAAAATCATAGGTATCAAGTGTAAAAAAAAGTGTGTATGTCTGTGTGTGTGTGTGTGTGTGTGTGTGTGGTGGGAATCGCTGGAGGACCTACAACACGATATCATCATAATACTTAAGTCACAATACGATGTTATTGTGATATTACAATGCTGAGTATTGTGATAGAATATATTGTGACATATTGCAATGTATTACCTCTTTTTCCAACTGCAATTTATTTCCCCAAAGGAAAACTTTGTCAACATCCATTTGACATCATAACATAAAGTTTTCTGTCTGATCATCTGACTAATCATTTTTATTGCAGCAGAATGTGATGCAAAGCAGACACACTGACCAACACCATCATAAAACCTGTCAAAAATGCTGCATAAACCTGACAGATTTAATTATAGGCAGATTTGACGCCCTCTGAGAGGCCAGACTAAGTGCATGAGCGAAACATTTCTCATGCAGGTATACTGCTAACTGAAAGGCAACACCCATGTTAGAAGTATTGTCTGTTACAACAAAAAAGTTTTTGTCGTCAGTCCCTCATTCTTCTGCCGATTGTGCAGGGGTACTGCAGTGTTTGTTCCGGTATGGTTTTAGTGTACTGCTCTAGTTTGGAGAACTGTAGTCATCAGTTCTCTGTGAGATAATGTGTCGTTAAAGTCACACATGAATCCACTGACCTTGAAGTCCAGGCATGAGAAGTTAATGCCACCCTTCCTGCTGTACTCAAAGGTTCCTCATCTTAACGCTTCACTTCTCTGTAGAGCTTGGGTACAGCTGTGTGGGTGAAAAAACATCTGGACAGAGTCACATACCTGGGTTCCAGTATTTTTAGATCTTTGCACATGAAGTAGGTAATGGGCTGTTTTATTCGCAATCTCAGAGTTGGATTATAGTTTTGTCAAGCTAAGTGTGTCCAGTGTTTTTCAGCAGAGCATTAGCTTGGCCGTCAGCAGCTAACGCTATCTCTGGACGGTGGAGTGCAAGGTGAGCCCTCATGTTCGTAGTATTCCCACAGTATTCTAATCTCGTATGACACTGCTTGCAACTCACATGTAATATCGAAGTCCTCCTTTCCTGTTAAAAAATCCCAAATAAGTGGAGACATTTTATTCAAACGCTGATGCCGCATTTCTGATTTCTTTCTCCAGTGTGTCCATCTTCCTGCCAAATGCTGCTGACTGAGACCTCTGCTGACCTCACCAGGAAAAATAATATCAGCACCATCTAGTGGACTGGAAAAGTAATTGATTTTATTATTCTAGTACCAAAAGCAGTATTGAAATGTGTATTTGCAAAAGAATATTATAAATATATATAAAAATATGTATATATGGGGCGTCGGTGGCTTGGTGGTGGAGCAGGCGCCCCATGTACAAGGCTGTTGCCGCAGCGGCCCAGGTTCAAATCCAGCCTGTGGCCCTTTGCTGCATGTCATTGCTGTTATCGTTAAACGGCAACCAGCAGCGTCAGGGGTAAAAGTGGCAGAACAAGGACCAAAGTTATGGTGGTGAAAGTCTGAATGGGGTGGGCGAGAGTGATGGTGGATGGGTCCAACAAACATCGACCTTCACCCGAGAGAGTAGTGTTCGCGTCCTGTAATATTCTAAAGCCAGCACTGTTTTTTTCCCCTAAACCTAACCACGTGCTTTTGTTGCCTAAACCTTACCATGTGTGTTTGTTGTTGAAGGAAAGAAAATATCAATTCACGGTGTTTTACCGACGTATTGCCTTTATTTCCTGTGAAAACCGAAGTGTATCTTGAGAGAAGACAATGCATGTACAGTAACAGGCAGAACTTGACACGGTGTCCCAGAACATTAACAGCCAACGCACCCAGGGTACCTTGCACGTTGTATGTGGACGTGGAAAGTCCATGACCAAATCGTCAATATGTGACGAGGTCAGAGTGAAAAATGTGTTGCCCCCTTCAAGAAAAAATGTTTTATTAAAACATTGGATTTATTGGATTGATTTCAGCAGTCTTGACCAAGTTTTAAATTCTGTGCCTGTATCTGCTGTAACATACCTTCTCATTATGGTTTAAAATTATATGGACAATGTGGGGCATCAGTGGCTTAGTGGTAGAGCAGGCGCCCCATGTACAAGACTGTTGCCGCAGCAGCCCGGGTTCAACTCCAGCCTGTGGCCCTTTGCTGCATGTCCTTCCCTCTCTCTCTCTCCCCCCTTCACACTTAAGCTGTCATATCATTTAAAGGCTAAAATGCCCAAAAAATATCTTAGGAAAATAATAATAATAATAATAATAATAACATGGACAATGTGAGGAACAAAGTGATGAACATGGCCAAATCTTTACATTTTTTTTCATTCTTTCTGAACATGAACTACAAAAATCCCTGCCTGTAATTATGTCTGCTTTATTAATGCTTAGTATCAGGACCAAAACATATACAATATTCAGTGGGCTAAAAGATACAAACTACTAGTAGGGTCCTGAAGTCTTCTGTCCAGTCAGGATTACAGATGTATTAAATGGGTCATTTTGCTGAACATCTAGACAACTTCTTTTCATGCGATACAAGACAGCAGAATATCAGCACTGGTGTGCTCCAAGTGTCGTCTGGACAACACATGCAGTTCTCTGGCGACAGACTTCTCCCCGGCCCATCTGGAATCTGGAGGTGGGAGGCGATGGTGTCGTTTTTGTGGAGAATCAGAAACTGATGTGGACGTGTTTCTGCATTTCTCAGAATGGGCTCCATGTGTTTTGCAGTAGATAAACACACTGTGTTAAACCTAGAAGAGGCTGTCTGTCTGCAGCTTCACTCTTTCTGCTGTGTTGTCTGTTAAATGACTGTTAAAGAAGATTTTCACTGCAGAAAAGTGGTCTTGTCATGAAACCAGACTGTCCATGCAGTAGAAAAGTGCAATTAGTTTTAAAGTTGGTGCTTTGTGACCAGAGAAAACAGAGAAAAGAGGTGTAGCATTCACTTTTACTCAACTACCAGAATGCGCTGCATAATCGATGTAATGTTAGCTTGGTCGTTTTAAGACAGGAACAGTATAACTGCTTAACGGCAAGCTTTAATATGTTTCTGGAAACATTTGAGGCAATACAGTAGAATCTTGGTTCATATTTGATCAGCGCTGCTTAGTTTTGTTGATTTAATTTTTTTTCAGCCTCCATTTTTACAATACAGGAAACAGCATGGCGCCCATTACCGATTCACAAATTCTTGTATTACAGCCAAACAGTGCACTGAAATATGTTTCTAAAGACATTTTAGGTGAGACATAGAAAATACAGTAACAGAATCTTGGTTATATATTTGATCAACACTGCTTAGTTTTACAGTTTGATCTGTGTTTGAGGGAGAAAAGGGCCAGTCTGTCTCTCGATCTGCTTCTGCACTCTTTGTACACTGACGTCAGGCATACAGAAATGCCAAAGTACAATCTGTTCTTCAAGCAACAGCCCTAGAGCCAGCAAAAATGAATGTATGAGGATTTCAGCTGAGAAATGAGCAGGGAGATCTGGGCACTGATAAGATGGAGGGAAGTTTACCCCAGTTCATTTACACATACTACACACATTGTTATGATGATGCAAAGCTGGTTGGGGGCTGCCAAAGTATCTCTTAAAGTGTGTAACCATTAACTTATGTGTTTGACAGGACCCGTGGGATCCCAATCCTAATGCAGTCCTCCAGACTGAACCTCTGTAAGAGTTGACATGTTTACTAATATTACTGACTGACTGAGCTGCTGATTGCGATTTAATTTAACCTCCTGAGGACGATGAAGAGGAATGACAATTGTCTATGGGTTCATTGTATTCATTTGATCCATTGTTAATATAGAAAAATATATGAGCAGCTTTAAGGTAGGAACACAATGAAGTTGGAGAAAGAGTTGTGGTTGGATAGGGTGAGCCTCCAGGAAGTCAGCACAGCGTTCTTTCAGCTTCCAGTGGGAGTGATATCTAAAAAGCACTCAAGTAAAAGCCAAGCTTGCTGGTGTGAAACATCTCACAGCAGTGAACCTATTATGTCCCCTTAAAACACATAAAAACACCACCCAGCTCATTCACTCAGGGATTTTACTGAAATCAAAGAGTGCAGAGCCACTGGGAGATTTAGACTTACAGCAGACAATCTGCCTCTGAAGTAGTTTATTCTATTTTAGTTTATTTAAGTGGCTGAGCCTATTGCTTTTTCCTCAGGTGGATCTCTCCCCCTGTAAGTGTTTCAAGATGCTCCCAAACTTTTTAAATGATCTTGTTTTAGAAAAGACTGGGTGGGCATTACCATCAAGGCATAATGACACACTAAAAACATGACAAAAATATCAGGAATATATATATTGCAGTGACACAATGG